TAAGTAAGAAAATTAACAAAGGGCAATAACTCAATATTCAAGAAATGCAGAGTACAAAATTTTGTACACTTCAATTCTTCTCAATGACATCTATCATTCTATGAAGTTTCAAGTCAATTGCTTTAAAAGTGTAGGAGAATCGGCCTTGACAAAAATAAATTATTATAATTAACAAAGGGCAATATATAAAATCATGAAATACAGAGTACCGGATCTTGTGCACTGCACTTCTTTTCAATGTGATCTATCACCCGATGAAGTTTCAAGTCAATAGCTTTTATATTTTATGAGAAATGACCTGGACAAAATTAAAGTATGAAAATTAACAAAGGAATGAAGAATTGCATAGTATCGATTCCTGTGTACTGCACTTCAGGTGAAGGGCAATGATTTAATCAAAGCACAGAAGGCGCTGAATTTGTTTCGGTCTCAGAATGTCAGAAAGGTGATGGTTGTGAGGTTATAAACCAATTTGTTTTTGTAAAGTGCCACCAATGCTATCCAGCGTTTTAATTGTAGTAAATTGGCTATAAAACTAATTTAAACACTGATATTCAATGACTTAAACAATAAGAGAAAAAAATGAGTTGCCAAGATTGGGATTTGAACTCCAGACCTCTCGCTTCCTAAGCGAGCGTGCAAACCCCTCGGCCACGGTGATGTTATTTCTTAACAGCCTGAAGAAAACTATATTAATTATTCTATATTAGGTTTTGTAACTGTTGTTTAACACAGATGTAAATAATCATGAAGCTTACTATAAGTATGTATAAAGAATAAAACAATATTAGAAATCTTCGACCATTCGGGAATTATTTTGCTTGAAAATTAATGCGCCTGTCATTTTTACGCAGTGATCTCCCCTGAATTTTTCGGCGTTAGTTTACATATAAAGGGAAGTAACCGCTTCAAAAAAGCGGACTACTTTCGGCACTTGCAATTAAGAGCATTGGAGTCTGAAATTTCGCTACCATTATAATGAGAAAGTGCGGAGTTCTGGTTCTTGTGCATTGCACTTTTTCTTAATGAGATTTATCATCATATGAAGTTTCATGTCCATAGGTTTTATAGTTTAGGAGAAATGGCCCGGACAAAATTAAAGTATAAAAATTAACAGAGGGCAATAGCTAAAAAATTAAGAGGTTCAGAGAAACGAGTTTTGTGCCCTGCACTTCTTCTTAATGAGATATAGCATCCTATGAAGTTTCAAGTCAATAGCTTTTATAGTTTAGGAGAAATGGCCCGGACAAAATTAAATTATGAAAATTAACAAAGGGCAATAACTCAAAAATTAAGAAGTGCAGAGTGATGAATCTTCTGCACTGCCTTTCGGGTCATTGAAAATTAATAAAGGGCAATAACTCAAAAATTAAGAAGTGCAGAGTTCCGGTTCTTGTAGACTGTACTTCTTCTTAATGAGATCTAACATCCTATGAAGTTTCAAGTCCATAGCTTTTATAGTTTAGGAGAAATGGCCTGGACAAAATTTTAGTATGAAAATTTACAAAGTGCAGTAACTCAAAAATTAAGAAGTGCAGAGTAACGATTCTTGTGCACTGCACTTTGGGTCACTGAAAGAAGCATGCACATCAAGATGGAGTCAATCCTAACTATATAGGGACTGACTTATGCTCCGGACAAGCATAAGGGGACGCCGCCGACCCTGACACCGACGCCGCCGACAAAAGTTGTCCCTATATGTAGCCTTTTTCAAGGCGACACAAAAACGATGGATAAAACACTTTGAACTGCGTCTTATCGACAAAACCCCATAAAAATTATATCCCACTTTAAGTTGCAAGTTCGCTATATAACTTTTGTTTGACAAAATTTGTTTACATTTTGTAGGATACGACGCATTTTTGATTCCCAGCCCTGAATCATGTTGGGTTTGCCAACACAGCATATATGAACTGGTACCCTAATGGAGATGCTTCCTTTAACACAAAATTAACTTTTCAGTGGTCATGGAGTAGTAGTTACATGAAAGCATACTTTTTGAGCTCGACTTTTCGAAGAATATAATAAGGAGAGCTATCCTAGATCCCAGCGCGTTTGCATAACCAAGTTATGTTAAAGTTTTCGTACCACCTCAAATATTTTCGAAGGCCATTGACATTTGGCTTTGAAACTTTGCACACTTGTTCAAAATAATGTACCCAACCTGTACACAGGAGGAGGTAACTGTATCAAGTATTTTTTTTTAATAGAATTATGTACCTTTTGCGACTTTATTTATTTATTTAAAATGTTGCCTACCACCTCAAATATTTTCAAAGTCTATTGACGTTGGCTTGAAAACTTTGAGACTTGCTCACCATCATAAGTTCAATCTTTGCACAGGAGAAGATCACCGTATCAATTTTTTTGACAGTATTATGCCCCTTTATCTATTTTTTTTTAATGAATGGAATAGTCATTTTTGTCCATTGATCATTATCTAGGTAGTTTCTACGTATACTATCAAGTACTGAGAATAGTCAAGCGTGTTGTTCTATGGACAGCTCTTGTTTGTTTTGTTTATGTCATGGCAGTGAATTCATGAACTGAATAATATTGATTTAATCAAAATATATTTCAAGTCAATAATAAGGCAAGCGCCTCTTAATGTGTGATACCATAATTAGTCTTTTAATCTTGTGCATAAATAAAACACAACATGGCGATGGGCAGACAGTAAGATTTATATATTTGACTGAGCAAAATCCTTAACACGTCTCATTTTCAAATTATGTAAAGTTAGCATTAAACACAATAATGACACAACCAAACAGGTGAGTAAATTTCATTCTTAACATATGAAATGACGTATTAAGTCAACTTTGCGTTTTCCAACTGAATAAGCAAATAAGAAAACAGACTTAATTAACAATAAAATAATTACATGTAAATTGTTTTCTTTCTTTTGAATCTTGCTGCTAATATCTAGATTAAAAAGTTACATGTTATAATGATTGATAAAGCAGCCTTTATTTACCCAACATGCTATGTCTTTATACTTATTCACACTATTTAATAAGTGCTGAAGAATTACAGTGTAGGCATTTCCTATCATCACATGTATTAATATAGTACAAAGTCATGTACATCAGTTTCCTAGCTAACTTTTATGACATCCATAATTTATGATGAAATCAGTTTAAAAAAAATTCTAAAAACAATAATATTAACACTTTTGAAGAGAGTTATCTCAATGGTTCTAAATTATTCCCAATCATATCTTTGTTTAGCTTTCTTTTGTTTCAGTTTCTTAGCGTAGGTTAGATCGAAATACCGTATCCGTTGTGTGTTTTCTTACTATTTTGTTTGATGTCATCCACGGAAAGGAATGAAAAGTTGCAAAAAAACAAATGAACATTGATTTCTCTGAGACCAAACTTTCCTGTTCTTAAAACTGTAATGAAATGTTATTAATAAACAACCATTAATGACCATTCTCGGATTTCCAACAAACAAAACCCGGGGGTGTGGGGGAATAACGAGAACAATGCAATTGGAGTGAAGAAAGGCCAAACACACCATCTCTGAAACTGACTGGGGATCGTTGTGTACTCTTTATAAATATTACTTCGTCACTGGCTGATAGTCATCACCATAAGAACTGAAGAAGTGTTCATTCAAAATATCTCTGGGTTATAATTTAATTGCGAAAGATCACTTCATATAATTCTATATGTATTTGGCTTGAATGCCAAGGCTTATAAAATGAAAACATAGGAAATGCTACATTCTAAATATCCGAGCTCTTGTGACCATATACTGTCAGAAAGGATCAAATATAAGTCTTATTAGTAAATTATGCAACACACAAGTGAGTTTCAATCTGGCGATGAGCATGCCAAGTTCAAAGTTGTACATTACATTAAATGTAACTAAACTCTAGGTTATGCAGTTTCACACCAGAATATCTTGTTTTTCTATATCAGTCTACATGTATGTAAATTACGCAGGCAATTTCCAAGTCCAGCGGGGTGCCGAGTTTCAAACATATGAAGAGGACGCAAAATTTTTACATAACAAAATACATTTGCTGTGGGCATTATAATATCAGAGAGGATGATTTTTAAAGTTACGAACACAAGTCGTTCTTACAAAATATACACAACAAAACAATATAAGTATGCACATTTATTACACAAGTAAAGCTCCACAAGATTTTTTTATGGGAAAATAAATCATAAATATCAAGCACTTTTTAAATATTGTACAATTAATAAATGTCAAATCACTCTCACTAAACTCATATATGGCACAAGTCTTATTTCCTTAGTCACTAATTTCTTTTCACACATAAAAGCAAATCAGAAACAAAATATAATTGGAAGAACAACAATTTCACAAAATTGTAATACCATAAAATTCACAAAACTTTAGCAGCAAATAGAAAAGATAAAAACCTATATATGCCACTGTGTACATATGTGATTTATGCCAAATCTATGGAATAAAGCAACACAGAAATGAGCAAGTTATAGATATAATGTAAGCAGAAAATAGAAAATAAAACCCCGTTTTTTACCTCTGATCTCTAAATGAGATTTTGATTGTAAAAGCACCATAATATTATTCATTTATACACATCAAAATTGCGCGTTTTAATTCAATATGACTTAATGGAACTTTAGCACAAGTAAAAATATCCCATTGTATGTAATTATAGCTTAGAAAATAAACTTTATTTGTGACTTTTTGACACGTTTACAAATGTTTACAATTTTGATCTTTGACTTTTAAATTTGACTTTGTTGTATTGTCCCGGTTTTTCCGCACTCAGCATTTTGTCTTGTGATGGTTAAAATTCCTACAGGTCCTGTTGATTACAAAGGAACATCCTGTTGTTTGTCAAGGAATGTCGAAGCTGTTAACTGAACACACTTTTTGGTTAAGACATACATACAGACATAAACACCACACACCTACATACATAAACACCATACACCTATATTCCGTTCCATCACTATGGCAACCAAAGTATGATTAAACTAACATAAATTAAAGTTTATGTAAGAAAAGCGCCAAAAATGTTATACAGTTCTTTGTAGCCCTCATAGACGTAGCAATGTGAAAGTTTTTCAAGCAAACGTAGTTCCGTTGTACCCACAGTCATTTCGAGCTATGTCAAAATACGTGATGTAGAACCTGCAAAGACATGTATATAGATATACAAATTCTAAGCAATGAATCATGGCATGACATAATTTCGTTTCATTTTATAATCACTTTTAAAACAAGAGATATCCCTAAAGTCGATGGATGCTTCGATGAGGTTTAAAGGACCAGGCATGTTAGTTACAAACCGAATATGAGAGACATCTGTTATATATTAAATAAGACTGTTTGTGTTAAAGTGAAAAATGTGTTGTAATAGTGACCTTGACCCAATATTCACCCAAAGTTAGACCACTACCAAAGATATGTGCCTACTAAATATAAAGAAGGCCTTGGCCAATGAATTAATTAAGGCTGTATAAGCAAAAGTTACAACTTACTTTTAGAACCAGTAACCATGATCAAAGTGACCCCTTATACTACGTTCAAAGTAAAAAGCCAAGCCATAGTATATACTAAGAAAAATAAAAGATAACCACTAGTAAGAGCAAAAAGTTAAAAATACATCATGTAGTTTTAACATCAATGATCTTCACCCCAGTGATCAATAACTTTAAATTGGTCAATATTATAAATAAAGGCTATATGAGTAAAATGAGAACTAGAAAATAATAACTGTTTTAAGCACTGGCGACTTTGACCCCAGTGGCCCTAATCTCAACATAAAGTGAGAGTTCTATCCAAAGTATAACACTTTCAAATATGAAATACATCAATTGATAAATAAAGCCAGTGTGAGCAAAGTTTGTAAGAGAAATTGTAAGAAAGCGCACCAGAATTACAGACCCACTGAATAAACCAACCAAGGATACATGAAAGGGTAAAGTGGTGACTATATGCTACCCTAATTTTTTCGGGGAACATAAAAATAATTGTGACTTAATTCTAATGAAACACCTTTAATGGCTTACTTGCAATGACTTACTATTAAATACCTACTTCAGTGGTTTTTGTGTTTGTTTTAAGTCACACAGACATTGTAATAGTCATATTTTACTTGTGGAGGAAAACCTCAGATGCCTCTCCGTGCGTTATGTCAAGAACAAGCGTGTACCTGAGTGGAACCATGTACATTATATAAGCTAGTTGGATAGTTTCCTCACATGAAAAGATTTCAAAGTTCCTCGCAGGGTAACAACTCGGTGGGAAGTCAAAGACCTTAAATCCTCGGCAATGGATACCCCAAATTCTAACTTTAATGGTAACTTTGAACTTTTAATGATTTACTCAAAAGGTTTATTTTTAATAGCTTTCTTTCATTCAATCACCTTAAATAGCTTTTTTTCAAAATCATATGCCTATCTTACTTTCAAAAGCTTTCTTTCATTGACTCACCTTTTGTAGCTTTCTTCAAAATCATATGCCATCTTACTTTCAATGGTTTATTTTCAATAACTGACTTACTTTTAATGTCCTACTTTCTTTCAATGACTTACAGTCTTTGAACTATTTAGTTTCAATGGCTTACTTATTTCAATTTTGATGTTCTAAAAACATTTCTAGATTTTACGTATCAAGAGAATCCACATATTGAGGACCATAATAGACATTTCTTGGACATTAGAAATGTGGTAAAATTGTGAAAAGAACGTACATAACAGGCATTTTTTAGTATTTATTATGAATGGGAAGATACCCCTGAATTCTCTTTATGCATTATTTCAGATATGAATGTTTGTTTGTTTGATTGGGTTTAACGTCACATCGGTACAGTATAGGTCATACGGCGACAATCCAGCTTTACTGGTAGACCTCAGGTGTCCTTCCTTGCATTTTTTTTCAGATATGAATATGTAATTGAATAAACAAATGACCATGTATAAAGTTTGGCTTCATAGTTTGAATAATCAACTATAGAAAAATTTTCAGCTATTTTTTTTTGCATTAAAGTCGTGTTCAACTTTTGACGCCGTACCTGTCTTTCTTGATACCTAATTTTGATTCGAGAAAATCTCCTATTTTGCTGGAATGGCTTTTATTCTTTTCTCCTAGGGCTCCAATACTCATAAGCTGAAAAAAGACTGAATTATTTAGATCCACCACTGACAGCATTTTAGTGCAATCACTAAGAAATAAAGCACAAGATTGCAATATCATAGTTGTTTAAGATGCTACAGACCAAATTTGATGTACATTAATTTTGCCTAGCAGTTTCGAAGAAGATGAGTGTTGACGCAAGACTGTATTCACTGTTATGTAAAAGTTGAGTCAAATATCTTCTACAGTATATTGCCATTTACAAATGAAAGCAAATTTTTCCAAGTGTACTGCCATTTATAGAAGAAAAGGTCAAACTTTGTAATTCATTATATTGCTTTTTTACAAATTTAAGACAGACTTTTGGTAGTATCATACAAATAAAGGTAAACCTTTAGCCTTCCAATGGCTTTCTAACTAGAACATTGCCTCTTATAAAAAAGGAAAACTTTGTCATTTGCTTCTATAGCCATTAACATAGAAAGGCGTACTTTTACTTTAAAGGGTATAAAGACACGCACACGCACACACACACATAATAACTGCAAAAATTATTATTTGATTTTTTTCCAAAGTGCTCGTTTGAACGAAATATGGTAGAAAATTGCCTTAAAGATCCTGTAACACAATTTTTTTATGGTTTTATATCATAAATATAATGCTCCAAGGAAGATTTTTTCCAAAAAGCATTATTTGTAAAGATATTACCAAATTTACATTTCATGCTAATAAAAGAAAGAAATTAGAAATTTATTTTTTGTAAAGTCTGAGTCACATTTTTCAAAAAGAAATGAATGCATATATTTTAATGATGACATATAATGTGGACAAATATTTGCAGTACATATTTTACATATTCTTCGATGTTTAAAAATTGTTTTAGAAGCATAGTTATATACATAATATAAAATTTCACTTTAATGTGGCAACAATTAGCCAGTCAGCATTGCTCAATCGGTTAAGGCGCGAGACTTGTAATCTCGACATTGCGGGTTCGCTAAAATTACCAATCAGTCTTTCGGATGAGACTTTAAATCGAGATCCCGTGTATGAGTGCTTAAACACTTGGCATGCTAAAGAACCAGGAGACGCTTCTGGAATTAGGGCATCTTGTACTATCCTCCAAAAATCTAAAATAACTAATACTCTTCTGGAAGACTCGCCCATATGGGCAACCAGTGGCGAGTATAAATAAACTCAATTACACACAATGGCAACAACCTTAATTACAACATACAGGATCTTTATGAGCAAATGGTGCCAGACACAGAATCATTTTACATGGATAAATCCTACTTAAAATAGCAAAATAATGTTTTGTGTCGGAACATTTTATTCTGTTTATGTACAATATTCATGTTTGTTCAATAACAGATGTTACAGCTCTTTCAAGAACCGATCATAAGATTATGGAAACAACATAATTTCTATTGTTATTCTTTTAAAATTATTTCATAAGATTGAACTTTGTTTAATATAGCCGTTTTCACTTTCAGTTTTATTGCCATTTACAATGTGGCAACATCTTTCGACGACAATTCATAGCCTGAGGAAAATCTTTGTAAATGTTCTTAATAAATCACACAACCTTCACTTTTGACAATCGAAACTACTTCTGCAGCTTTTGTTACAATAATACTGTAATACATAACCTGCTCGACATGTTTGCTATATTTTCTGCCATACCAAATATGAAACCATATCTACTCTCTATTTACCACTATAAATAATGCACATCTTCGTTCTTTATAGTCCTTTACAGTATTATTTACTTTATGCCAAATGATAATTTCCTCATCCGATTGAAATACACATGCTGACAAACAATTAGTGAAGGCTGTAACTGTAACAAAACTGAATAAATCCTTATATGCAAAACCTGGTGCACAGCTACACATGCTGACCAACATTTCTGTAATGTTTGTTGACTAGATTAAATACTTTTTGGGCTATATGCAACAAGAGTTGAAACTTGCAAATTTTTACTCAGTCAAAGGCAATAACTCTAAGAATACTGAAAAACTACTAAATCCACAAGCAAACAGGTGTACAACTGCATTGTACTCATGTTGACCTTCATTCCTGTAAAGTTTCATGACTCTAGGTCAAATGAGTTATGCACGTAACAAGTTGAAGATTGATTTCTTTTAACAAATCAAGGGCAATTACTATTACAAAACTGAATAAATCCACACGCGAAATCCCAGGTCTCCAGTGCACAAGTTCACAAGACATGCTGATCAATATTCATGTTAAGTTTGTTGACTCTAGCTAAAGCACTTTCAGAGCTACATGTGGCACAACATGGGATGCACGGAAGACAGACAAGGGCAAATCCAAATGCCCTCATAAAGTGGATTCTTGCTGGAACCTTTTTGTCTTATGACCTTATTACCAACATTTAACCTTTCATATTTAGTCAAAAGAGTCAACAGTCAAGTTGGAAACTTATGTGAGTTAATAGCCCCGAAGTTAAATAACAAATCACATTAAGTTATTTTTGTTTATTACAGTATTAAAAACATTATAACTAATACCTGAACACTACCACATGGCTCACTACTTCCACCAACGTACATCATCTGATCAGGAACTACTCGCACAGTTACATACTGAAATTTTGTGCAAACACAAAAAGTTCATATTGAAATATCATAAGTTCGTACTAAAATATAATATATGAATATAATGGAATATTGAATATATGTAAAATGCTATTTGAATATAGTTTGTTAATACTGAAACATCGTTCATCATGTCAATGTGTCTCTCATACATTAACTCATTATTTTGATATATTAATCCTTATATGAAGTTTTCCTTGTATTGTAAGTACTAACCATGTCCTAACCATATATTATATATTTATCAAATGTATCAATTGAAGTCAGTGTAAAAAGTGCATTAGAATTATTGTTTGTTTGTTTGTTTGTTTGTATCCGGCTTTATAAATAAAATTTTCTAACTTGACTTGACTTGATAAAGAAATACCAACTGTCCAAAAGCTAGTTTGATAGCTCCGTCATAAGAAAGTATTTCATATTATTTTTTAAAGAAAGCATATTATCTCATTACCAAAAGCACAGGAAAACACATTTTAAGTACATGTATTTTAAAAGCAAGTCAAATACAAGTAGGTTATTTGAATTCATCAAGTTTTATGAAAATAGAATTTAGGGCCACAAAACCAGAAGCCATTTGGGCTAGTGGTTAGCAAATATACTAGCCTTAATAGTTTAAACATGCCCAAAAATTAAAGTGGAAAGTAAAGTATAATGATTAATACATTTGTTCTTGCATATCAGACAGGATATGTCTGATAGTGCTTCCGAGGGATCAAACTTCGTCCAGATTTTTAAGTTGTAAATTCATATACTTCCAAAGGAAAAAAGTGCAAAATGAAAATATCAGTTTTTATTATATACTTATAAATGAAATATTGAGAAATATTGATGAAATAAAATGCGTATTTTCATTTTCCGTATTTTCACTGTAAAAATTTATTTTTCACTGCAGTGAAACATATTTTCCGTATTTTCACTGGTGTCTTGCCGGACTACTTTCTTTTAAATTCTACCAGCGAACAAAATTTAAGGGAAAGTCTGTCAAATTTTAATGTCAAAAAAGAGAAAAATGTATATAATAAACAGAAAATTCAAGTTTTTTCTTTAAATACACAATTTATTTTCATCTTGTGGCATGAAAATTACCATATTTCACTCGTGGCTACCGCCACTCATGAAATATTTATTTTCATACCACTCGATGAAAATAAATAATGTATTTATAGAAAAAACTTGAATATCCTCTATTTATAAAATAATTCTGAAATATGACTGAAATGTAATATGCAAGAAAAAGAACCAAACACTAGCTTTCGTCTCAGATGGGATTATTTAGGTCTTGGGTTGTCCAACTAATTAAACTTGTTAAAATTAGGCGTAATGGTTTGCAGGTAGGAAAAAAAACCCACAGAATGTTAAATTTGTCAAACCGTTCACGCTTAATAAATTAGGCTAGGTTTTCGGTAATTGTAAGTCGAAGCTAGGCAGAACCTAGTAAACAGTTACTCTTGAGCTACATATGTACATGTAATTAAATAGAGGCAGCCGTAGTAAGATTCGTAATTATAATATGTAATGTTGTTCCCTGCAACAAGGATATAAATGGGTTGTTTCATCTGAAATTCAGATCTTTTACATAGGCCAGGTACTGTTGGTCTTGTAACGTTTATGGTTCTACACCAAATGTTAATAGCCATTTATTAGTACAACTAATTAGACATTAAAATTTATTTAACGTTTTATATTATCATTGTGACATTTTAGATTTTAAGGTGTTTTTTTTAAACACATGGACAATTAAAAATATAAAATATCACATATAATGAAGGATAAACATGAAATAAGTAAATATTGACTTGCGGGTTAACCTTTAAATTTGCAAAAATTATCATGGAGTTTCTATTAGAACCAAGCCTTATTGTTACATGAGTAAAATGTTTTTTCAAAAAGAATTTCCGTTGATACTTCAGAGCCAGTTGTTCAATGTTACTGGATGGTTTTTTTTTTGTTTTAATTGTTCTTTTTTAGATCTGCAGTTGAAGTTGAATCTGTCAAATATTTCAGCATACGCTGAAGGTAGTAGAATGAATTTAAAAATTCAGTGGGAATCGTTATGTTATTTTGCATGTACATGTATTTCAAATTATGTTATTTACCTGCCGCTGCAAATAATCTGTTCATCAGTTACTGGGATTTGATTTAGATGAAATGAAAACTTTTCTTGTTAATTTTACTCTTCGTGGCATTTCCAGATTGAAGTGTCACTGTGTCAAACAAGCCGAGCCTATAATTCCTTTCATACATAACATAATTCCTTTGGCATAAGACTTCAAAGACTGGTAATCCTGTCACTAGACGCTTTACCTCATAAGCATATTGTGAAAAATGGCCATTTTCATTGAAAAGCCTCCTGTTACAAGTTCAAACTGCTATGAAACTATAAAAAAGGCTTCAATACTGATGAAACTTGGCACAAATGTTGTCTGGACCATAGCCTCTGTAACAGTTTGCTCAATCTTAATTTCCTGTTACCATGGTACCGGGGGACGTCTCAAAATTGCCCAAAATCACTATAAGGCTTTATCTTGCAAGATGGCGGCGATGGCTAGTCTTGAAGGTTATACTAATAAGGAAGTAATAAGAAAGCCTCAAAGTAGTTTTGTTCATAGTTTGTTAAGTGTACATGCTCTTGCTTATTTGTTTTGTTATTATGGCCGTGGGTTTGGCTAAATGGTGAATATTAATCTTGTAGTAATCATTATGATCAAAAATAGACATTCAAAACAATTTTAATTAATGTGAATTATAAATGACTTAAATGCATAATAAAGGTGTTCTCATTCAACTCAAACAATGTTTGTATGAGTTTGATTATGCTCACATGTATGTGAAGTAAACGAACTGTATATGTGATTAATGTTATTGATAAAAGTACATGTGTGAATTTGATTCATGTGATCTCTCAATTGCCTAAAATATATTTTCATTTGACTAAAATTTTCTTATGTTATTTCTTCTGATTGAAAACTGATAATTATGCTTTAAATAATTGTTTTTAGATATTTTCATTTCGAAATAAATAATGACATTAGCAAGATTATTTTTGCGTTTTTTATGATAAATTGTGATTTAGAAAATTTTAAGTTATAAAAGAAATTTTGTTGTGAACTTAAGTAAATATATGCTTAACTTGTTTCTGCCTTTTAACGGCAATATGATAAATTTAGATCTATCACTAACTTAATGTGTAGTCCATTATACACTTGTTTATATTTATAACATGTTTTAAAATCTGTTAAGTGAAAATCCTTAAAGGGACTCCACTGAGGTTTAAAAGCCTAAAAAATATAACATTCGAATTTCTAACATAAATGAGCTGGGGCACTTTAAACAGAAATATATGCAAAGAAAGAAGTTAAGAAATATACTTTGAAATAAATCGTATTTTTATGCTTTCCTTAGCCCGATTTGAGTGGAAAGCGTTTTAATTTTTGGTCATTTTTTGCAATTTGAATAATTATTCTGGAAAAACGAATTGCGCGATTGATCTGAAATTTTGCACAGATTAGTGGTCTAAACCTACATCAAATGGTACATTTATCTGGAAAAATATTTTCAGTCCCATCATATCAAAAAAACGCAGTGGTGTCCCTTTAAGTGCATTAGATCTGTTTCAAATAATTATGTTATAACACCGTTTTCATATTGAAACATCAAAGTATTTATAAATACTAACAATCATTCAACGACTGGCACAGACTGGGCCAGTAAATCTGATACTATTCTCCGGCCGGTCAAAAAAAGACCAGGGTTCGGAAGCAACCGGTCCAGCTAACAGTATATCCCAGTATATCTTGGTTAGAAGAAGTAATGGTCTGTCATGATTGTTTAAAGACAAGCGATCCGAATGCTTGTGTAAGTACAGGGTCATAATCATATGTCAGACATTTAATTTCCTAAAAGAGTCACATTTTAACATGAAAACTCAATTTTTGGCGGTGGGTCAATGTCTGTGAAAATCAATACAAAAGTCTGACCCTGACTTTACAAATATAGCAAAAACAAATAATCTTACATGTTCCGGTTTTCCTCGTAAATTTGCGATAAATTTTGAAGACTCTGGAAGAAAATCTGAAGGTATGTTATCGCGTGGAATTGATACAAAAATGATGAATGTCAGCATGTTTGAGCAATTTTTTGTTTAATCCCTCCAAAAAATCCCTCCACAAAATCAAAACAACTTTGAAGTAAGATTACTTTATTGGTAACAGAGGTTCGTCTTTATAGGCGGTGAAGATTAACAACAACAATATCATGACATGCGATTGGCTGCAAGAAGTGCAGGGAAAACGGTTAGATTCAATGGGACATCAGGTGATTGGATAAAAATGTAAGTTTGCAAGTATGAAATTCATTTTAGAAATTAACACTGCATTGCTTTCTTAAGAAAATAAACTGTTTCATACGTGTCAATGATAATTTCTCATTTGGATATTTTCAATTTAAAAGTATATGTAAGTTTTGTGATCAGCAGAAAATTTCAGTGAAACCGTGGACCCGTATTCATCTCTGAGGACATTTTGCAAAACATTTGGTCGTGCAACCCTATATTAATATATCAGACAAGTCATTCTTTTAGAAAATCCACATCTTTAGCATGAATACTAATCTTAAGGTTTGTTTAGAGGTCATTTCTTATCATGTAAGTCTATGGGAAAATTAATATAGTAGTCTGACCTTGAAGGCTTAATTATTTCCTATGTTTAATCACGGATTTATATTATATTAAATCCGTGGTTTAATTAAGCGACATTAATTTATGGAAAAACGAAAATAACAATATGGATCAGATAACAACCATAGGCACATGATTTTTGGATAAAGAAAACCTTTTTGAGATTTTTGTAGAACTGAAATTTGATTGAATGTAACGAATTTTTAACGGAGATGTCTCGATTCTAATTAAAACCGTCATTTTTCCTATGTTACTAAAATCAAAGTGTTGAAAGCACTGGCCGCGACGGACGTGACAATGGAATTGCATAAGTATTGTCGAAAAAGGACCAAACATCAGTCATGTTGCACCAAGAAATTTCTAAACTCCCAAAGGACAGTAAAAATATATGCCATACTTTAATGAGGCTTTGGTAGAGACCTCTTATTGTGATCCCAAGACTGAATTAGGTTTCATGATCATCACGAATATGTTCTGTTTTATTTTTTTTAAAAAAGCTTATGTTTTTTATTCAAGTTGTACATGAATGTGACCCAGTTGCCTTTTTCCATAAAAACGAAACTTGAGGGTTGTTGGTCGTGTTTAATTTGAAGTAGGCACTAAAATATGTTCCCGATACACAGTCCATCAAATCAACATTTCAACAGACAAATACTGTACATCTTTTATGGATATCACAACATTATATCGTCTATCTTTTATTCTGCTTTTTTATTAATTAAAAATTTGTAGGTAAAGATGCGACATAAAAAATTAAGCAAAGCGGCAAATCGCATGACCACGGGGATGATTAATGTAGCGGCTTAAGTATCCATAATATGTGAATTAATAATTTGTATGCCCCGTAATCTCAGAGACATAACATTTTTATACGGATTCAAGAGCTTGCTTTACATTCAACCTCGTTTTTTAACAATGTTTGGTGGTTAAATTTGTTTTGCCTCAGATTTTCCAATAGAAACAATTCATTCTTTAAAGGCTATTCCAGTGGGTTGGAAAAAAAACTGTCGTTATATCCACAGACGCTTGTGGTTTGGAGCTCAAAACGCCTTTAAAATCCAAATAAAATGCATATTTGTCAATCCCAGGACATGTACTGATCATATATATCAAAAAATCTTAATATATGCCGTTTTGAAAAAATTCATATTTCAACATCTATAATAATACACAAGATAAAAATGTTCGCCGGAAAAAATCCGCACCCCTACCGTCATAATCACCATGTATTTTAATCCATTTCCAATATAATCACATAATCCTTTGGTCCATCGACACAGAAGATATAATTCTTCACGATGATGGTCAATTTTAAACTTCAACGGTAATATAAACAACGCAACAGCCGAAATAAACATCAATATTCTCGCCGTTTTTTTTCAACGACAAAAACTTTCGATAAATTCAATGGACCAGACGGCTATGAACGAAGCTATCCGATTATGTGGTTCCCAAACTTAAAAGCGCTGCGCATTTTGCACACGGCAAAGCTGGGGCCACATAATCGGATAGCTTCGTTCATAGCCGTCTGGTCCATTGAATTTATCGAAAGTTTTTGTCGTTGAAAAAAAACGGCGAGAATATTGATGTTTATTTCGGCTGTTGCGTTGTTTATATTACCGTTGAAGTTTAAAATTGACCATCATCGTGAAGAATTATATCTTCTGTGTCGATGGACCAAAGGATTATGTGATTATATTGGAAATGGATTAAAATACATGGTGATTATGACGGTAGGGGTGCGGATTTTTTCCGGCGAACATTTTTATCTTGTGTATTATTATAGATGTTGAAATATGAATTTTTTTCAAAACGGCATATATTAAGATTTTTTGATATATATGATCAGTACATGTCCTGGGATTGACAAATATGCATTTTATTTGGATTTTAAAGGCGTTTTGAGCTCCAAACCACAAGCGTCTGTGGTTATATCTGCCGTGCGTAGAAACATTTTGAGAATAACGAACTTTGAAAACGTTGATAAAACTTTGTTTGTTTATTTTATTTCACTGTATATTGTTCAAATTAATAGTGAAATAAATGTGAAATTTAACTCGTTTGCGACATTGAAATAGCGTTCTTGATATTATTAAAAGGTTTAAATCCAAGCAAAGCCTCTGGCTCCGACCAGCTGTCCCCAAGGTTATTGAAAGAACTTCATACTGAATTTCCCCTAGTTCTCACACACATCGTCCAAATTTCCTTAAAAACTGGTACTGTCCCTTATGACAGGAAGCATGCAGTCATTGCCTCTGTTTAAAAATTAAATTAAATGTAAGCCTAGTAACTACAAGCCTATATTATTAACCTGCATTGCCTCAAAACTAATGGAGCATATAATTGTCTCCAATACCATGTCTTACTACGATTAGCATGATATTCTCAGCAAATTCCAACATAGCTGTGAAACCCAGGCCCGGTGTTCACAAAGAAAAGATCAGGATCAGGATCAGGTGATCCTGATTTTATTTTCATTGTTTTATAAAACTTAAATTGATTGTAATATGCTAGAATTAAATGGAACATATTGGAATTGTAAATAATGGCTTATTTGCAAGGAAACCAAACTATTTTGGGATAAAATCAACTAATAATTATAACAAAACAAATACAAAAGTAATTGGATCAAAATGAGGATCAATTTTAGGATCAAGATCAAAATTTGGATCAACTGTAAAATGCCCATGTTTTTGTAAAAATAACAATAAATTTATTCTAAAATTTCATAAACATGATATTTTAAGTCCAGTTTTATCAATTTAATATTGAATATTTAATCTATGAGGATAAATAATGGAGAATATTTGAGTTTTTAAATTTGATCCTGATCTTGATCCTGATCCTTAAATCTTTGTGAACACAGGGCCAGCTTATCAGTTTTACCCAGGAAGTTCAAGACAATTTAGAGCAAGGCCAACAGACCGATGTCATTGTCATGGACTTCAGCAAAGAATTTGATAAAGTCGACCATCACAAGCTTCTCCTTAAACTACACAGACTAGGTTCATCAATTAGACAAGGTCATTTTTATATGGTCGCACCCAACAGGTCGTTGTCGATGGTCAGAACTCTGACAACCTACCAGATCTTTCAGTCAAAACTTCAAACAAAAAGGTTAAAGAAACTGCCTACAAAACCTATGTAAGGCCCCAGTTAGAATACTGTTCCACGGTTTGGCATCCTTGGCAAAAATATCTGGTTTTCAAAATAGAACATGTTCAAATGTCAGCTGCCAGATATGTATACAACGACAACAATTACACCAGTAGTGTATATGTATCTAAAATGTTAAGTGAACTTAACAGAGGCGCAGCATCAGCTCTGTTACCCTTCTCTACAAAATCCAACACAATCTTGTGAGGGTCGACCATCATCATCTGACACCCACTAGAAACCTGAACTACCTGATACCATACTCAAGGACACAATACCACTCTCACTCATTTCCCCCAGAAGTATTCGTATGTGGAATGGCCTACCCGTGTCCGTACTAGTGACAAGCTAGTAACACATGTGAGGGAGCTTCCATTTTATTTGAAATGTAAACATTATCAGTGCAGGTACAGGTAGGAATTCTGTACTATTTCAGTTATTACAGGTTTGAATATGCTTTATAGATCATGCATTAGAATTAGATATATTTTTCTTAATTAAAAACCTAAAACCGGAAGTGTGGTAAAGTGGACGAAGTTTGGTTTTTATAGATAAAATAATAATGTTTAAAAAATAACAAACTCTACTGTATGTATATTCGGTAGCGCTTTCAATGTATATTATATACAATTCTATATTTAGCTCCATGGTTAAACGTTACCTGGGACATAAGTTATCTTACCCAAAGTACCGCAGACTCATTTTACTAAACGCACGATACTTACATGTTCTCTCGTCACAGTTACCTCCCCTTCATAAATTTACGTCTTGATTTTAGAATTTGGACAATTTTTTTATTAACCTATAAACACTTTCATTGATAAGTGTTTCTATTGTTTTTTCAGAGTCACTTTAAAAATATGGCTGTAAAAAGTGTTCATATTGAATCGGAGGCGTATCTTGTTTGTTTGACTCATGCCCTTTCAACAGAAAGAGAAGAAATAATGGGTTTACTAATTGGAGATATTGACAATGAAAACGTTTCAAGAATTTCAGCAGTTATAATGCTAAGAAGATCTGATAAACAATCAGACAGAGTGGAGATATCTCCAGAGCAATTATCAGCAGCATCTACTGATGCTGAGAGACTCGCAGTTGAACTTGACCGGCCCATGAGAGTCATTGGGTGGTATCATTCACATCCTCACATCACGGTTTGGCCATCTCATGTTGATGTTCGAACACAGGCAATGTATCAAATGATGGATCCAGGCTTTGTTGGTTTGATTTTCTCGGTATTCAATCAGGACAAAAATACAAAGCAGAATAGGTAACAGAACTATACCATTTGTCAATTAAGATAAATTTATATAATTTATAAATAATTGTTTCAACCTTAGTTTAGATGTGCCTAGATGGGAATGGTTGCCAAATGTATCCCTCTCAAGATATCCCTGTAAATGGAGATAAAACAATAAGAAAGAAATATCTTTGTCGTGAAATGTTTGGCATTCTAGAAGGGTTGGGTCACCAATTTTAAGTATCTGTTTGTGTGTCTTCATCTATAAATATTTGCATATTTATGAAATGTTAATATTAAATTTATCAAAATATTTTTGAAATTATTGGAATAAATTACCAGGCTTGATATTTTACTGATTTAATGTGAAATTTGTTAAAAATTGATAAGCTACATACAATGTACATGTACATTGTATGCCATAATATCCAGGATTCAATTGTCACACTTAACAAAATAATGACCTGTATACTTTAAACTGCTCATTTTTAGATTTTTACCTGGGTTACTGATAGCCAGTTTACAGATATCAATTTTAGGAATTATATCGATTTCAGGGTGCAAGTGACATGTTTCCAGGCGTCAGACAATAGCTCAGACTATACTCGTATAGAGATTCCAATGCACATTGTACCCAGCAAAAAGATAGGATCAGCTTGTATACAGTCACTTGTCACATTACCAAATATTCTTACCATGGAAGAAGAGGAAGCTTATCAAAGGTATAAAAAATGGTAACAATTACTAAATTATCTTTGAACCTTTACGTTTTCATGTATCTCTGGAAATATTCCATGATTTATAAAATTAATATATATATAATTTATCACAAAGTCATCATTACTTTTCCCTAATCAATTTCTCAAAATCCCACTAAGGGTCATAACATGAATAATCTTTAATGTAATTTCCTCAATTCTGGTTAAGTTACTATGGTAGCAGAAAAGAAAATCTTAAAAAAATCATATGTCAGATTTTAATATCATTTCATGGAAATAACAATAATTTGAATGAATAGATTAATGGCAAAGGGAAGTCACTGTTCCCAACATGACTTTGTGTAAAAGGTTTCTTCTTGTAAACTGTGTATGACTTGAATAATTTAAGGAGCTTGATATTAAGTTTTTCTGGAGTTATTGACCCTGCATGGTAAAATATAGTACAGAAAATATCTATATTTAGTCACCAGTGATAAAGAAACACTAACTAGTCTTAGTTTTAAATAAAGATAAATTTAGTTTTAAATGAAGATTAAGACTGATATGTATGTCATGATTGTATTATATTTCACCAGGTGTGCATGTAATTATAAAAGATATTAATTTATCCCTACTTGTTCAACTTTAAAAATGTTTTGTTTCCCTTTTACTACTGTACACCATTAGATAACCTCATAAATAGTATATTGTACTAACTAAACACTAATTGGACAAAAATTTAACTCAGATTTGAACCAGAGATACCAGTTTGATAGAATGAAAATATTTGAAATGAGAGAGCAACACCTACATTGTATATAGTGTCATAAAATGATAAACGGTATATTGTATTATCCAATACTAATATAATGTCATTCATATTATATTATATTGAACTAAGTAAGATTAATATAAAGATAGTGACTTAGTCATTCATATTATGTATTATGTTGTACTATGAGCAATAAATGGTGTATAATACAAAGACAGTTATAGTGTCATAAATATATTGCTCAATCTTAGACCAATTTAGTGTCATAAATAGTATTTTGTATTGTCCAATATATAATCAGTTCAATAAAAACAAACGCTTTTCTTAAGCTTTCGACGTATAGTCTTCTTCAGAAAAAATTGACGTTTATAACATAACAAATGACGCAACGTCCGTTTAAGTATACACTAAACAGAACGTGACGTTAAAGCGGGAATAAAAACTTTGTCAAACAAGATATGTTTGTAAAACATGTATGCCCCCTATCAGCAGCCAATTAATCATGTGAAAAGGTTATTATGCATGACTTCTGACCCAGTGATCAAACAATTAATAAGGGTTATCAAGTATCTACTGGTCATGACCTTAACCTTTGACCCCTTGACCAAAAACTCAATAGGGGTCATCTGCTGGTCACGACCAATCATCATACAAAGTTTGAAGTTCCTAGGCCTAAGCGTTTTTAGTTAATTGATCAGAAACCGTTTTAACATACAAGGTCAATGTGACCTTGACCTTTGACCCCTTGACCCCAAAATCAATAGGTAATCTGCTTGTCATGACCAATCACCATACCATGTTTGAAGTTCCTAGGCCAAAGGGTTCTTAAGTTATTGATTTGAAAGCATTTTTACCTACAAGGTCAATGTGACCTTGCCCTTTGACCCTTAACCCCAATATCAATAGGGGTCATCTACTGGTCATGACCAATCACCATACAAGTTTGAAGTTCCTAGGCCTAAGGGTTCTTTAGTTATTGATCAGAAACTGTTTTTACCTAAGAGGTTAATGTGACCTTGACCTTTGACCCCAAAATCAATAGGGGTCATCTACTGTTCATGACCAATCACAATATCAAGTTTGAAGTCCCTAGGCCTAAGGGTTCTTTCGTTATTGATCGGAAACCATTTTACCTACAAAGTCAATGTGACCTTGACCTTTGACCCCTTAACCCCAAAATCAATAGGGGTCATCTGCTGGTCATGACCAATCACCATATCAAGTTTGAAGTTCCTAGGCCAAAGGGTTCTTTCGTTATTGATCGGAAATCGTTTTTACCTACAAGGTCAATATGACCTTGACCTTTAACCCAAAAATCAATAGAAGCCATTTACTAGTCATGAACAATCCTCATACTAAGTTTAAAGTTCCTAGACCTAAGCATTTCTATGTTATTGATCAGAAACCGTTTTTTACCTTCAAGATCAATGTGACCTTGTCATTTGACCCCTTGACCTCAGAATCAGTAGGGTCATCTACTGATCATGACCAATCACCATACCAAGTTTGAAGTTCCTAAGCCTTAAAGTTCTTTAGTTATTGATCAGAAACCGTTATTGCTTACTAGGTCATTGTGACCTTGACCTTTGACCCCTTGACCCCAAAATCAATAGGGGTCATCTACTGATCATGACCAATCACCATACCAAGTTTGAAGTTCCTAGGCCTTAAAGTTCTTAAGTTATTGATTGGAAACCGTTTTTGCTTACAAGGTCATTGTGACCTTGACCTTTGACCCCTTGACCCCAAAATCAATAGGGATCATCTACTGATCATGACCAATCACCATACCAAGTTTGAAGTTCCTAGGCCTTAAGGTTCTTTAGTTATTGATCGGAAACCGTTTTTGCTTACAAGGTCAATGTGACCTTGACCTTTGACCCCAAAATCGATAGGGGTCATCTACTGGTCATGACCAATCACCTTACTAAGTTTGAAGTTCCTAGGCCTTAAGGTTCTTTAGTTATTGATCAGAAACCGTTTTTGCTTACAAGGTCAATGTGACCTTGACCTTTGACCCCTTGACCCCAAAATCAATAGGGATCATCTACTGATCATGACCAATCACCATACCAAGTTTGAAGTTCCTAGGCCTAAGGGTTCTTTAGTTATCACTCGGAAACCATTTGGTCTACGGACCGACGGACCAACGGACCGACGGACCGACAAGTGCAAAGCAATATACCCCCTTTTCTTCGAAATGGGGGCATAATAAATACAGAATCTTTCATGAATATAAATACAGCAATATACAATAAATTACACATATAATATGGATCTGCACATGTGATACAAAAATTCTCATAATTAATAATAATAAAAAAACCTTGATATGAGAAAAAACATACTACATGTATATGTATACCGGCTCAATAATGACAAAGTTATATATTGTACAAAACTTTTGCATTCATACCATTAGGAGATAATGTGTTAAGCTTATGAATCCAGTATGATTCTTGTAATAAGCGTTCCATATCATCGGAGACAATCTCTATGGGCATAAATTTAAAATCCTTAATACAATGATTAGTTTTATTGAAGTGTGTAGCGACATTGGTTGAAAATAACGGATCGGAAAAATTGTTGATATCAAACCTATGGCTATTCATGCGTTTAGACACTTGTTGCTTTGTTTGACCAACATATTGCTCTTTACATTTATCACAAGTGACAAGATATATAACATTTTTCGTAGAACAATCAGTATTGTTATTTACATGATAATTCTTACCAGGAATATTAGTACTACTAAATATATTGCTTTCAATAATAGAGCTGCAATGTGTACATCTACTTCTATTACATTTGGATGAACATTTCACATTTTTGTTATTAGACCTAACTTTAGAATTAATTTTTTTTTTTTTTTTGTATTGTCCAATACAAATATAGGGCTGTAAATATTGTATTGTCCTCTCTAAGATCAATATAGGGTCATGAAATTTAATGTTATATTGTACAATCTAAGACAGATCATAAATATACATGTATTTTATTATGGTAAATTAAACTCGAAGACCAATGTGATGTACAAGTATTATAACAACAAAAGATATATATTTGCATTTTTCAGGGCAGCAGAGAATAAAGATCTTGACTTGATAACAAAGGTGCACAATGCATCAGTGTATACAAAATCTCTGTGCCATGTAATTGATGTAATGAATGGACCTGTCCTTCAGACTCTAGAGAACCGTTTAGAACGCAACAAAAATAGGATTCAAGCATTGGAAAAGGAGAAGGAAGATCTGCTTAAAATTTTGGAGGAAACTTGAATGGATTGTGGGAAACTTAATTGAATAGTGTCATTTAAATTATCGTAGGATATTGCATAATTGTGAGATTAAGATAGTTGTTATTTTATAGGACAAAATGAATGTATTGCATAACCTTGACTCAAAAAACATTGACTTTCAAAAGAACAACATTTGTTTGAAGTGAAGCTTTTCAGCATTTTAATGAATTGTCTTATTTTAAGTGACATGCTCATTTTTTCATTTTCATCACTCATGTTGTGACAAATTTAGATATTTCAAAAGATTGTCTGTTTTAATGGTGATTGACCAGTAGTTGATATAGAAAAAATGTTTAGGATAAAATATAAATCTGTCTAGAATATAAAATGACTGCCCCATTCTTTTTTTAAGTTTTTATAAATTGAACATTACGGTTAAATTCTGATGGATATTTATTGAAGTGTCCTTTGGCCATAAGTTCTTTATCTTTCATGCCAAGTTGATAATAAAATTGAAAGGAATTATGGAAAAATATAAACTTAACTTTAACCTATTTTGACTTTTACCTGTTCAAACACTCTATACCCTTAGATGGGCATTATGTTACTTTAGTAAATTGTTGTGGATACAGTATTTATAAGTAGAATTTCAGTAACTAACATAACATTATTGTAAATATTTACAGCAAAAAAATGCCTGATAATTTTTTGTGAAAAAACTTAAGAATTTCATTCTCATTTCTCTAAATACAATGTAAATGTATGTTACAATAAACTGGTGAAATTGTTTTATTGATTGTTTAAACCAGAGAGATTTAGCAACATTCTTGACTCAGTCATACTACAAAAAGCATGAGTATAGTTCCATAGACAAAAGAATGCATCAGTATTATCAATTCCATAATTATTGAAATATATTTAAAAAACAGAATTTGTGTTGCATTAGAAGTGGTGGTTTTTATTTTTTGGTGTATTAAAATGCTGATCCAATTATCAAGGCCCTTTATGGCTATTTAGTAGATTTTGACCCTTACTCCTTAGTTTTGAATCCTGCCAAGGAAGAGAAAACTTCCAAGTTACATGTACCTCACAGATTTTTGTGGTTCTACTCCGGTGTCTGCTTTTTCCCTTAATAATGCATGTAGGGGCACCCTAGGTCCTCCTCCACCAGTTAAGCTGGAAAGACATCATATGACCTTTCATGTGTCAATGTAACTTAAAACTTAATAAACCAATCATTATCATTATTTTCCAGCTTTATTTTTAGCTCACCTGAGCAAAAAGTGCTTAAGGGTGAGCTTTTGTGATCACCCTGCGTCCGTTGTGTGTCGTCCAAAAAATGGTGTCAAACTCTTAAAACAACACCTATATCAATAGAAATAAGCAGGAATGTTCCTTGCATGAAGCCTTTTAATAATTGTTCAAAGAATTCCATTCCAAGGCATGCTAAATTCTGGTTGCCATGGCAACTGAAAGAAACAAGAGGGCCATGATGGCCCTAGATCGCTCACCTGAATTATCAAACTCATCCAAACAATTACCTAGACAAGCATTCTGACCAAGTCTCATGACAGGTGAGTCAAAAATGTGACCACTACAGTGTTAACAAGGATTATCCATATTTGAGCAGTGCGACCTAGTTTTTTACCCAGGTGACACATATTCAAACTTGACCTAGAAATCATCAAAACAAACTTTCAGACCAATTTCCAGGATACTTGGATCAAAACAGTAGCAACTAGAGTGTTAACAAGATTTTTCTATTTTTAGCTCCGGTGACCTAGTTTCACATGCGATTTCGAACTCATCCAAGCAATTACCTAGACAAGCATTCTGACCAAGTTTGATGATAATGGAGTCGAAAATGTGACCACTAGAATGTTAACAAGGTTTTTCCATATTTGGGCGGTGTGACCTAGTTTTTCATCCAAGATGACCCATGTTCGATCTTGACTTAGAAATCATCAAAACAAACTTTCAGACCAATTAACAGAATATTTGGATCACAACAGTAGCCACTAGAGTGTTAACAAGATTTTTCTATTTTTAGCTCCTGTGACCTAGTTTTTTCATCCGAGATGTCCCATGTTCGATTTATTCCCAGCAATGACCTAGACAAGTTTCCTGACCAAGTTTGATGACAATTGAGTCAAAATTGTGACCACTAGAGTGTTAACAAGGTTTTTCTATTTTTAGCTCCTGTGACCTAGTTTTTCATCCGAGATGACCCATGTTCGAACTCATCGGAGTTATTACCTAGACAAGCATCTTGATCAAGTTTGATGATGATTGATGCAAAAATGTGACCGCTAAAGTGTTAACAAGGTTTTTCTATTTTTAGCTCCGGTGACCTACTTTTTCATCCGAGATGACCCATGTTCGAACTCATCCAAGCTATCAACTAGATAAGCATCCTGACCAAGTTTGATGATGATTGATGCAAAAATGTGACCGCTAGAGTGTTAACAAGGTTTTTCTATTTATAGCTCCGGTGACCTAGTTTTTCATCCGAGATGACCCATATTCGAACTCATCCGAGCTATTATCTAAACAAGCATCCTGACAAAGTTTGATGATGATTGGGGTCAAAAATGTGACCACTAGAGTGGTCACAAGGTTTTTCTATTTTTAGCTCCTGTGACCTAGTTTTTCATCAGAGATGACCCATGTTCGAACTCATCCAAGCAATTGACTAGACAAGCATTCTGACCAAGTTTGATGATGATTGGTTCAAAAATGTGACCACTAGAGTGTTCACAAGGTTTTTCTATTTATAGCTCCTGTGACCTACTTTTTCATCCGAGATGACCCATGTTCGAACTCATCCGAGCTATCACCTAGACAAACATCCTGACCAAGTTTGATGATGATTGGGTCAAAAATGTGACCTCTAGAGTGTTCACAAGGTTTTTCTATTTTTAGCTCTTGTGACCTAGTTTTTCATCTGAGATGACCCATGTTCGAACTCATCCGAGCTTTCAACTAGATAAGCATCCTGACCAAGTTTGATGATGATTGAGGCAAAAATGCGACCGCTAGAGTGTTCACAAGCAATTGTGGACGGACGGACGACGGACATTCATCGATCCTAAAAGCTCACCCTGAGCAAGCTCAGGTGAGCTAAAAACTTTTAAAAAAATTCTTGTAAAAAAACCACAGATATTTGGAACGATATTAGGGCCATTTTGGCCCTCTTGTTACTCTATCCATTACTATGTGTTTTTCCATATTGCAACCTATTCACAAAATAAGTTTAACTTTATGCATGGAACTATGGAAGTCCTTAAGCGTTCACAATCATATTCTTAAACTTTTTTCAAGACAAATGTGCTGACAAAAGGCCTATTTGTCTATAGGGTAATACTTAAATTTCACAAAGTTGATACAATGTAAATGTACTAATGATTAATTAACAATGTCTTATGAGTATTTTGTGAAATGCTTAAAACTTTTATCAAGACCTTTTTGTATGCCCGAAAAAAATTTGGGCATATTATGTTAGCAATTTGGTTTCCGGAGCATAACTTTAGTTCCATTTGGCCCACAGTGTTCAAACTTCATAGTATGATTGTCCATATTAGGTAGAAGACCTCTATTGATTTTGGGGTCAAAGGTCAAGGTCACTATCACCTTAAAACTGAAAACAGTTTCCGGAGCATAACTTTAGTTCCATTTGGCCCACAATATTCAAACTTCATAGGATGATTGTCCATATTGGTTAGAAGACCCCTATTGATTTTGGGGTCACAAGGTCAAAGGTCATTATAACTTTAAAACTGAAAACAGTTTCCATACCCTTACTTAAGTTCCATTTGGCCAAGTTTTCAAGACTTCATAGGATGATTGTCTATATTGGGTAGAACACCCCTATTGATTTTGGGGTCACAAGGTCAAAGTTCAAGGTCACTATTACCTTAAAACAGAAAAAAGTTTCCGGAGCATAACTTAATTCCATTTGGCCCACAATATTCAAACTTTATAGGAGGATTGCTATTTGAAGGAGGTAATACTTTATTTAATTCCCATGTCTTACAAATGCTTCATCTTTACTAAAAAAACAAAACACTTTCGGGCATATAATGCTCCGCCTAGCGGTGCTCTTGTTGTGGTTTTGAACTTTTCTTCAACTTAGATGGAAATGAAAATTGTACCTACAGATTAAAAGAGCGAGTTTGATTTAGGGATGTATTGCGCCTAGGCTATTGATTAGCTTAAATACCATAATTATGAGCATAGATGTTTCAAGTATTGTCAAATACTTACTTCTCACTTCATTCATTAATCTGTGTACTTGTTTTAAGAAAATTTGAATTCAATAGAGAGTTTATGCACTTTTCGGTATTTACATCTGCAAAAACATTTATGCTCAAGCCCAAACCTTTACGGCTAGGGATTAAAATAAGTCAGAGAGCTTTAAAAGATGACAATGCATTAACAAGGGTGCATAAGCACTTTTCTTGCATTAACCCTTTCCCCCATGAGCATATTGTGAAAAATGGCCATTTTCACTGAAAAGCCTCCTGTTACAAGTTCAAACTGCTATGAAACTATGAAAAATGCTTCAATACTAATCAAACTTGGCACAAATGTTGACTGGACCATTGCCTTTGTAACGACATGCTCAGTCTTAAATTTCCTGTTACCATGGCAACGAGGGGACATCTCAAAATTGCCAAAAATCACTTTTTTGCCTCGATTTTTTCCATCAAAATTTATTTCAAAGTGCTGCCACTTCTCAAGGGATTGAGATAGAGTCAAAGGCTTTTCAGCATTGGTTACACGTTACCTTATGATCGACCTGGGGTCATTTTAAGCCTCTCACAAATTTTCTTGGCAATGAGGGGGACTCCGCCCCCCTTCAAACCCCCCAAACAGAAGGGGGCACATCCCCCTTCTGGCAACCCCCTGATGTAACATTTGGATGGGGGACGGCGCCTAAAAAAATGGTCACTTTTTTGAACAACATTTCTCAAACGAAAGACAGTGTTTGGGGCCTAAATAGGGCATTTTTTCACTGTTTGAGGCCTCAAAAAGGGGGGGGGGGCAAAAAGCCGTCGAAACACGCTTATATAAGGGAAAAGGTTAAAGTAAATGTCTGATCCGATAATTTCCTGTAATGTCATTGGGTTTTTGTAATGCTTTTAACATGTTTGATGTCATTTAACAAATTTGTTTTGAAAAATAGGGGCCATACATGTACTTAAAGTCAGACTTCATCAGTCAATGAATTTAAGAGTGAGAATTTACTGGCCCCGAATTCCAGTTTTTAATTTATTCTACAATATACTCAACCTAATTTTCACCAGCCCGAACCGATTTTACACTGGCCACCGGGCCAGTGCTAAATTCAATGACTGCTTCATTCACCTATTTTTGCATGGTGCCCTGAAACTCGTAGTGATAAGTATGCAACATCGTCACATGCTCATATGACTTTATTGATAATTAATTAAAGGCATGTTTTTCTTTCCTCCAATAATGTACCCTTGCATGCACAGTTATTAATTTGCAAAAATATGGGCTAAACCCATATAAACTTAAGTGTCGGAACTGTAACTGAAACATCTATTAACTGCTACCCAGCAGAAGAAAAGACATGACATAATAAACTATTGCTTAATTTTAAAATGGTAAAAAGTGCTGGAAATCATATGGAAACTAATGATCCGCACCATCTGAATTTATTAACATGTAACTGTTAAACAGAAAATCAAAGACAAAAATGCACAATTTTTTTTTTTAATAAATTGATCACTTCATAAAAATTATCCCGTCACTAAATCCTCTTGAAAATCATATCAGAAGGCTGTCTAACAGCTGGCAGTTCTAACTTAACCTGACACTTTAATAAACAAGACAACAGTTCTTCTGTGTAGCCTACTAAAAAATAAACTTTCTGTAAATCTTTGTCATCCAATAAGCGTCTTTTAATATAAGCTACTACATATATCATGTTATGTCGCCTCTTTATAATTACATCAGAAGCCAGTTTTTGTGGCCATGTTCCGTCCATGAAACGCCGAATAAATGCATCCTCTATTGTAGTCTCGCTCTTCCGTCCCTCACCAATCAAGTTACCTATATAAAACAAGCAAATTTGTTGAATTTATAATTTTATATTCCCAACCGAGTACTGGTTATTACTAACACAAGAACTGAAAACATAAGGTTTATCATGGCATAAACAGTAATATTCTTTGTACTTGATAAATATTCAGGGCAATAACAGAGCCATAACTCTGTGTTAGATAGTAATATCTGGACATGCCAATGAGATGTAAATTGCCTTTGTGTATTCATGGTTGCCATAAAGTTTTGTTGAAATCAATACAGCAGTTGCAAAGAAATAGCAATATTGCTCTATATGCATACTGCATAACTAATCAAGGGCCAAAACTCTTGAGTTAAAGTGTCTGACCGGAACAAGGCGACTATATGCACATCTCCTCTTGGTATTGAAGGTTCCCATAAAGTTTCGTTGAATTCCAGCCAGTAGTTACAGAGAAGTAGCATGGAAACGATTATTGCTCTGGTTGCATACTGCATAAATAATCAAGGGCCATAACTCTAAGTTAAAGTGTCTGACCGGAACAAGGTGATGATCTCCTCTTGGTATTGAAGGTTCCATAAAGTTTCATTGAATTCCAGCCAGTAGTTGCAAAAAGTAGTGTGGAAACAAATATTATGTTCTATATGCATACTGCATAAGTAATCAAGGGCCATAACTCTGAGTTAAAGTGTCTGACCGGAACAAGCTGACGATATGCGCATCTCTTCTTGGTATTGAAGGTTCCCATAAAGTTTTGTTAAATTCCAGCCAGTACTTGCAGAAAAGTAGTTCGGAAACAATTTTTGCTGTATATGCATACTGCATAAGTAATCAAGGGCCATAACTCGAGTTGAAGTGACTGACCGGAAAAAGGCGAAGATATGCACATCTCCTCTTGGTATTGAAGGTTCCCATAAAGTTTTGTTGAATTCCAGCCAGTACCAGCAGAGACGTAGCGCGGAAACGATTTTTGCTCTATATGCATACTGCATAACTAATCAAGGGCCATAACTCTGAGTTGAAGTGTCTGACTGGAACAAGCTGATGATATGCACATCTCCTCTTGGTATTGAAGGTTCCAATAAAGTTTCATTTAATTCCAGCCAGTAGTAGCAGAGAAGTAGCGCGGAAACGATTTTTACTCTATATGCTTACAGCATAACTAATCAAGGGCCATAACTCTGAGTTAAAGGGTCTGACCGGAACAAGCTGACGATATGCGCATCTCTTCTTGGTATTGAAGGTTCCCATAAAGTTTTGTTAAATTCCAGCCAGTACTTGCAGAAAAGTAGTTCGGAAACAATTTTTGCTGTATATGCATACTGCATAAGTAATCAAGGGCCATAACTCGAGTTGAAGTGACTGACCGGAAAAAGGCGAAGATATGCACATCTCCTCTTGGTATTGAAGGTTCCCATAAAGTTTTGTTGAATTCCAGCCAGTACCAGCAGAGACGTAGCGCGGAAACGATTTTTACTCTATATGCACACTGCATAACTAATCAAGGGCCATAACTCTGAGTTGAAGTGTCTGACCGGAACAAGCTGATGATATGCACATCTCCTCTTGGTATTGAAGGTTCCAATAAAGTTTCATTTAATTCCAGCCAGTAGTAGCAGAGAAGTAGCGCGGAAACAATTTTTACTCTATATGCTTACAGCATAACTAATCAAGGGCCATAACTCTGAGTTAAAGGGTCTGACCGGAACAAGCTGACGAGATGCGCATCTCCTCTTGGTATTGAAGGTTCCAATAAAGTTTTGTTAAATTCCAGTCAGTAGTTGCAGAAAAGTAGTTCGGAAACGATTTTTGCTGTATATGCATACTGCATAAGTAATCAAGGGCCATAAATAAAGTGTCTGACCGGAAAAAGGCGACAATATGCGCATCTCCTCTTTGTATTGATGGTTCCCATGAGTTTCGTTGAATTCCTAACAGTAGTAGCAGAGAAATAGCACGGAAATGATACTTGCTCTATATGCATACAGCATAACTAATCAAGGGCCATAACTCTGTGTTGAAGGGTGAGACTGGAACAAGGCAATGATATGCGCATCTCCTCTTGATATTGATGATTCCCATAAAGTTTTGTTGAATTCCAGCCAGTAGTTGCAGAGAACTAGTCTGGAAACGAAATTTGGACGGACGGAAGTACGGACGGACAGACAACGCCAAAACAATATCCCCCTATCTATCGCCGGGGGATAACAAATAGCAGCCATTAGAATTATCAAATCATTTTGAAATGCATGATTGTTTTTAAGGTCATAACTGGTCTTTCAATAAAGTTTTATTGATTGTCAGACTGCAATCAGCTTATCTGGAATGCAAGCATAAATCCAGACTTGCCTGTAGAATAAAGCCAGAAAATTTTACAGCATAAAATCACACTTTCCTATGACACAGATCCTGACTTTTCTATAGAATAAATTGAGACTTTCATACAGCATAAAGTCAGACTTTCATATATAGCATAAATTTAGACTTCAATATAGCATAAATCCAGACTCATATACAATGTTGCATTAATCCAGATTTACATATACATATAATATATAATCCAGACTTTCATAGCATAAATCCACATTTTCATACAGCATAAATCCTCACTTCCAGTACATGTACATTAAATCCAGACTTTCTGTAATTTCTTAAAAGTGGCATTATGACCTTTTAGTGAAATACAATGTACATGTATACCAAAGGGCAATTGTTTTGTTTTTTTGTCGTACTAACATTGTACAGGTCATATGGTGACTTTTCAGCTTTACTGGTGGAGGAAGACATCAGGTGCCCCTCTGTGCATTATTCCAAGCATGAGCATGCACTTGAGTAGAACCACTGACATTTCCTAAGCTAGCTGGATAGCTTCCAAACATGAAAGACTCCAAAGTCCCATGCGGGATTCGAATGTGAGGCACATGGTTTAGTTTAAAGCCAATAATCTTGCCTTGACAATGCTGAAATGTATCTTTTTTCTTCAGAAAACTTTCTATCTTGCAATAACATCAAACTGTCCCCGTTGATTAACTACAAAGTTAAGGATCATGTGTGTAACTCATAACCTTAGTGTAAGTGAATAGCCTGGGCGTATCAGGCTCCATATTGTCTTAAGCTCAATTACTCAATTTACCGTAAGTTAATATTGAAATCCCTAAACTTTCAAATGCCAGGACTGTGCTAAATTCAAAACCATTTTGATGATAAAAATAACAATATTTCTCTTTTTATTAATCATTTAATGACAGATAACAAATATTTATAATGATGACTTACTTGTATTCCATGACAACCATGATTTATCGACTCCTATCTTATATGGTGGTTTTGCCTCCTCATATGTTAGTGTAACTGTTCTTTTCCTAGTGACTTTATAGATTCCTGCACGAATGTGTTTTTTGTTTAGAACGCATGAAGTTTGAATCCCTCTCTGTGCCAGACATGATGGACCACTTGTTTGAAGTAAACACTGGAATGAAAATGTACAGTCTATTGTAAAATAAGTGAAATTTACATGATTCAACATAATTTACATGATTCAACATATAGTAAATTTTTCATGATTCAATGAGTGATAAATTTTACATAACAAGTTGATAAATTTTACATAACTTAACAATGTGATAAAATTTACATGGTATGGCAATGTGGTAAAATAAACATGACCATGTAGTAGAGCTTAATACTTTCATGATTCAAGATAAGGTAAAATATGCATGATTCAACATGTAGAAAATTTACAATAACTCTCCCTACTGAGTATCTATGAATAGTCCAGCTACATGTAGTAATTTAACAAGCCACGCTTGAATTTTTGCTAGTATCAAAAGGAAACAGAAGAATTTTAAAGATTTAGGAAAAAAAAAATTCTTAAAATATTTTTGTGTACAGAAATGAATTAAAATTTTATATCAGGTCATTTACAGATAAAGCTGGGGGGGGGGGGGGGCTGTTTTTGTTGTTGTTTTTTTTCAAAGTATGAAAAAATCTGTCCATTAATAACAAAGTTATGGCAAAATTCTATAACTTAATTATGGCTTGAAGGTCAAGATCAAACAAGTTGGTTTGGCAATAATGAATAAGTGTTGTTTTGTCCAAGTTGAATAAAATAAATAAAATGAATAATAAAGTTCACTAATAAAGTGAACTAAATTTACATAAAATTCAATAATTACATTTGACCTTGATGGTCTTGGTTATTTCAAGGTCAAAGTCAAACTTGAATAATACAACATATTAGTTTTTACATACATCATGTAAGTATTGTTTTGTCCAAGAATAAAACTGACAGTAAAGTTCTCAATTTAAAACTAGAACTCTGTGAGTCGGATGTGTTGCCTTGTGAATGATATAGCTGTCACTTAGGCATTTTCTTCTGAAACACTGCATGTACCTTTAACATAAGTGGCATTTGAACTGAATGTAACAATGTTACATCAGGATTAATAAAACTGTTATAATATCAAAAATAAAAATACCATGGAAAAGTTTTACACTGACATATCAAATGGAGTACTCTGTAATGGATTCTTATGCACTGCACTTCAGGTCAATGAAAAAAGCTAACACACCAAATTTGGAGTCAATCAAACTTATAGTGATCAAACTTACAGTTATGCTCTGGACAAGCCTATTATGAAAGAAAATTAACAAAGGGCAATAATTCAAAAATTATGAAGTGCAGAGTACCGGTTCTTCAACTTCTTGTGCACTGCACTAAGTCTTCTTCTCAATGAGATCTATCATCCTATGAAAGTTCAAGTCAATAGCTTTTAAAGTGTAGGAATTGGCGTTAAAGTGTAGGAATTGGCGTGGACAAAACTAACAAAGGGCAATTACTCTAAAATCATGAAGTACAGAGTACCGTTTTTGTGCACTGCCCTTCTTCTCAATGAGATCTACATGTATCATCCTATGAAGTTTCATGGTTTAGGTGAAATGGCTGGGACAAAAATAAAGTTAGAAAATTAACAAAGGGCAATAACTAAAAAATCATGGAGTACAGAATACCAGTTTTTGTGCAGTGCACTTCACCTCAATGATGTCTCTCATCCTATGAAGTTTCATGTCCATAGCTTTCAAACGGTAGTTAAAGAGAAATGGCCCAGACAAAAATGAAATATGAAAATTAACAAAGGGCAATAACTCAAAAAGATAAGAAGTGCAGAGTATCAGTTTTTGTGCACTGCAGTGACTGCACTTCTTCTTAATGAGATCTATCATCCTATTAAGTTTCAAGTCCATAGCTGTTATATTTTAGGAGAAATGACCCTAACAAAAATAAAGTATGAAAATTAACAAAGGGCAATAACTCAAAAATTAAGAAATGCAGAGTAAAGATTCTTGTGCATTGCACTTTGGGTCATTATAAGAAGCATGCATACCAAGTTTGGAGTCAAACTGACTTGCAGTGACTGACCTATGCTCCGGAGGACGCCAACAACAACGCCGAAAACAACAACTACAAGGACGCAGACAAAAGTAACCCCTATATGTCGCCTTTTTCAAGGCGACGCAAAAATTCAATAACTTAACCCTGAAACCTGACAGTTAAGGTCATTCAAAGGTCAAGATCATATCAAGTTATTCAATACATGTATGATTGTTGTGTCACAAGTGTTGTTTAGTCCAATCAAATCAGTAAGTAAATAACAAAGTTATGCAAAATTCTTATGGAAAATTAAAAAAAATTGGGCCTTGACAGTCAATGATATTTGAAAGTCAAGGTTATACAATTTTGAAAGAAGAATTAGACGACATGCTTTTGTTGCATCACACAAGCAATTTCAAACGGTCATTGTGACCTAGCATGTTCTACCTACAGCCAAATAAAGATTGAATCACAGGGTGTATACTGTAAACCTTTAACTAGAACTCCGCGAGTCGGATGTGTCGCCTTGTGAACAATGTAGTTTAGGGGAAATGGCCAGGAGAAAAATGAAATATGAAAAATAACAAAGGGCAATAACTAAAAAAATAATAAGTGCAGAGCAGCAGTTTCTGTGCACTGCACTTCTTATCAATAAGATCTATCATTCTATGATGTTTCAAGTCCATAGCTTTCATACTTGAGGAAAAATGACCAGGACAAAAATAAAGTAAGAAAAGCAACAAAGGGCAATAACTCAAAAATAAGAAATGCTGAGTATTAGTTCTTATGCACTGCACTTCTTTTTAATGAGATCTATCATCCTATGAAGTTTCAAGTCCATAATTTTTATACTTTCAGAGAAATGGCCTGGACAAAAATTAAGTATGAAAAAAACAAAGGCAAAAACTCAAAAAATAAGAATGCAGAACCAGTTCTTGTGCACTGCACTTCTTCTTAATGAGACCTATCATCCTATGAAGTTTCAAGTCCATGGCTTTTATACATTAGGAGAAATGCCCGGACAAAAAATAAAGTATGAAAATTAACAAAGGGCAATAACTCAAAAATTAGGAAGTGCAGAGTACGGTTTCTGTGCACTGCATTTCTTCTTAATGAGATCTATCATCCTATGAAGTTTCAAGTCCATAGCTTTTTAGTTGAAGAGAAATGGCCCGGACCAAAATTAAAGTATGAAAATTAACAAAGGGCAATAACTCAAAAATAAGAACTGCAGAGTACCGGTCCTTGTGCACTGCACTTCGGGTTATTGAAAGAAGCATGCAACCAAGTTGAAAGTCAATCAGACTTATAGTGACTGAGTTATGCTCTGGACAAGCTTTAGCGGACGCCGACAACGACGCCGACACAGACGCCGCCGCCGCCGACACCGCCGACAAAAGTAACCCCTATATGTCACCTTTTCAAGGCGACACAAAAAGTCACAAATGACACATGTACAATGTAACTGTTAGGCACTGGTTCTCATAAGAATTGTGAAATTGACAGATCAATTTCGAAAAAATCGATCTTCTTGATAGGGCCTAATTTTGAAGATTTCGAAAAGTAGAACCCTTAAATGAGACAAATGTGAAATATTTTGAACATCAACCAAATACTTTGTGTGTACTACACTCGGAAGCAACCCTAGTTGTAGAATTTATCCTAAATTGTAATGTACGCTACTACCAGTTTATTAATCAAAACATTCCGAATTTCAAAAAAATTTAAAACTTTTCGGGAAAAACAATTTTTCCCATTTTTCATTGCATTTGTCAAAAAAATAATTTTTTTTTAATGAAACATAGGAATTTTTTTTCTTACTAAAATAAAACCAATTTAAAAATACTTTTATCTAAAATGGGGAAATTTTTTTAACGATTGATATCAATTCTGTAATTCCATTTATTTGTTCTTAAATTTTGTTTATTCTTTACTTCAACAATAATAAAGGGACGAAAACAAACTTTGCAAACAAAATAACTGACTAAAATTTTGTGGTGGACTCTTTTTGACAGGACATCAATTGTCTCGGACATTACGGAATCCAGTAAAAATATTCGTTGTGGGTAATGTAGTACTAGTTATGATTATCATTTTATTATCAATCATTTTTTATGTTTAAACTTAATATTGTTAAGTGTGTTCATTTAAGCTTGAGTTAATAGCACAGGTAAATAATATTGCACGGACGAATTAAATCACCAGTATAACTATGTATCCAGCATACAAAAGAAGTTATATACCTGTACCTTATATTTATTTATATCAATGTCATCAGGGCTCATCCTGGGGGGAAATTTTAGGGAGAAGTGACTTCCTCGCGAAAATTAGGGAGATGGGAAACAACCCAATGTGTATGCATTAACATGCATGGCTATACATCCTTTAATTTTAATTTAAACACAATTAACATCACTTATAATATTTCTCCAGTTTATTAATTAATAGTAGATTAATTAATAGTAGTATTTAATTAAAAAGCAGATTAATTAATAGTTAGATCTGGCAATGGCATCTAAATGTTTTTGAGCTGCAAATATGAATATAAAAATTATTTTTTGATATCTATGATCAGCTATTTATAAGCTTTCTCTAAATATGTGTTTATATACTATTCATGTACATTTGTTGATAATGATGTGTAAGAAAAAATATGATAAAACCAATTTAATTTTTTTTTCTTTTTTTTTTTTTTTTTTTTCTTTTTTTTTTTTTTTTTTTTTTTTTTTTTTTTTTTTTTTTTTTTTTTTGTTTTTTTTTTTTTCTTTTTTTTTTTTTTTTTTTTTTTTTTTTTTTTTTTTTTATTTTTTTTTTTTTTTTTTTTTCTTTTTTTTTTTTTTTTTTTTTTTTTTTTTTTTTTTTTTTTTTTTTTTTTTTTTTTCTTCCTCACTTTTAATAGAAGAATGAAGTCACTTTAGGATATTGATTAATAATATTCTCTTTCTGGTTTCTAGAGTAACAGAAATAAAATCTTTCAAAGGTCCTGAAGGTTGTAATGGTCACATTTATATGCAAATAATTATGCTTATAAAAACAATTTTCAAACATCAAAGAATATGGTAAAGTATGCTACTGGCAAACATTTGTGCACATCATAT